TCGACCTGAAGTTCAGGCCTACATCAGGGCTGTCTCCTTAAGTGTTGCAGGGAGAATTCTCCCATTAGAGAATAGCCTCTATACTCTATGAAGTTTGCTTATCGACAGATTAATATCCACTTAGAAAGGTAGAGAACTAAAAACCAAGCCAAGAAACTAGAAACAAAGAAAAAAAAATGTCTGCATTTATAAGTTACTCCTAAAAGCTTGAGTTAACCATTTGAAATGTGATGTAATATATTGATGTTCAGAGATAAAAAGATATCAAGCCAAAAGCATATATAGTTGAACAATGGAATAGATTCTATGCTAAATTTGTTAGAAGGATTGATATGGAAGGAATTCAGGGAAGATGTTCTACGGATGGGAATGAGCTAACATAAGTGAGATAATACAACTGTCGACAGTAAATATCAATTTATCATAACTAGTGGGAGAAGATGATTAGTACTGACACAAGTCATTTACTTTGACCCTCAGAAAGAGATATGACCCGGCTCCAAAGACCTCCAACATAGACATAAACACTAACAAGGGTCATGCGCAAGGTAGAGTATAATAAATAAATAAGTCATCCGCTAACAAGTGCATACCCAATTAATTTCCTACCCACTTCACAAACAATATTTAATATACATAAACACTTAATAAAACCAAATCAGATAATTAAATCGTACATTTTTAAGGTAGTAAATAACTCCATAAACACCATTACAAATTATTTAAATCACACTGTGGAGATTTTTCACTACATCTTTTGGTTATAAAACTAACTATGTTTCAAAATCTAAGAGTTGACGGTAAACGATAAAATCAAGTCTATATTTTTTTAAAGAGAAACTTTGAATTTTTTTTTTTGTGGAGAGTGAATTAGATTGAGCCGTCAGATCTCTTATGTGTAACGATCGGATAAAGTCGGCTGGAGTCGACTAATTGAAATATTTTTACATATGGATTAAAATAACTCAGAAAATAAAACTCGAGAGATGTGAAAAGGAAAAAATATTTCGTTTTCAATTACCCACTTCTTCGCCAATTCTGGCCAACGACGCCGGAGGTGGAGGTTTTTTCTATAGGTACCATCAAACCTATTCTAATCAGAGTAGGAATGGCGTTAAAGATTCATTCTTAGGGTCCGACACGAAATTAATTTCAACCCGCTCAAGCTGGAATCGAATCGGCGAGGAATGAGAATGTTAATTCGGGCAACTCTTCAACACTCGGCCTCCACGGGCTCTGTTATGCTTGGGCCCGAAAGCCCTTCTCTCAGGACTACTTTATTCCTCTTACGACCTTCAATCCCGTAGAAGACTCAAGGCCGCTGGTTATTATCTTGCCCGAAGAGGGCTAGCATATCCTTTCCCCGAACTAATAGCTGGAAGACTTTCCGTTCTCAAGCAATTAGATGGGCCTTCCTGAGAACTCTTCCATCATAGCTCAATCGGCCATTGTTGCTCCCGCGCAACAACTTTCATATTTCACTCTAAATTACACCATATTACCGGCACGTTTTGCTACCCTGGTCTAGTAATTGTGCTCAATCGTTTTGCCTCGCGGATGTTGTGAATTTCCTAAGAGTAATAAACAGCGTTTAGCTAAATATAGTTTTTCTCTCGGTGAACGTACGATGGCATGAAATTTTCTTCAAGTTAATTAAAAATAAATTTCTTATGTTTTAATATTTATTTATTTTTTTAAAGTATTTTGTGAATTCGCTAAGAATATTGATGACGATGATTGATCACTCAAAACAGTAAGATTCTATATATCCTTGTAATGAAGTTGAGTGAAACCGAAGGTAAAGAAAATTAACTCCACTCTCTCATAATACAATGCACTTCGTGATTTCCATATTATATTCTCATTTGTTCATTGGCTAATATACTATGCGAGTGATTGAAGAGGAATTGGTAAAAACAAGTAAAACCTAATAAATTATATTTATTTGTATTTTTACCGAGTTTCGGCCCAAGGTTCAGGCCTTCATCAGGGCTATTAAAAGGCAAGATAACAATACATATCATAAATTAGTAAACGGCAAAAAATAGTAATAAGTAAAATCCCCCACCAACTCCTCTTCAATATATCCGCCACAGTCAACCATTAATCCATTAATATGAAATTTATTTGAGTAGGACAACTAATAATGATAATTATTATTAGGTGGACTTTTCATGAATAGTTAATTTAAATATATACTGATCCATTTGTCGCAGTCTTACAACTGTGTAATAATTATTTACAAAAATTATAACTAAGTAATAAAACAAAACATACTAATAAACAGTTGTTTTATTTTATTTGAATATATATCATGCATAAAACATATATATATATATATATATATATATATATATATATATATATATATATATATATATATATATATATATATATATATATTGATTTTAATAATATACTTACATTATTATAAGTAAATAATTTCCTGATAATAAAATTGATAAAATTGTGATGAAATAGAGACTAAATCATTTAAATAAGCATTTAAAATAAAATTTTAAATTATTCTTGACGTATGAAAAATCAGCAATGGTCCCACTCAAACTTTATGGAATATTTTGAGTGTATTATTATATAGGTAAAAATTGAAGAGTGTACGTTTCAGTGCGCTGGTGATAAAATTATTTTCGGTATGTCTAAAAAATCAATATTGACCAAAACATGAATCCTTGCCTCTCACTTACAAAAAAAATCCTTTAATCAATATATAAAGAGATGCCGACAGAAAGAAGTAATCCTGATTAAGTTGATATGTCATTCCGTTAAGGCAGACATTATAACCTGGACGGAAGCTACAGATGGTGCGACGTGACACTGCTTGTGACTTGCGACTTACAAGGTGGATTATCAGGGCACATACTCCATGATAGGGTTAGTTATTAAATAAAAAAATAAACTAATTTCTTTTCAAGAGTAGCGGAAGGGTTTTTATGTCCGAAATAGGTAATTGTATTTCAGAGGAAAAAAAAAAGGAAACCATTTTTATATGTTCATAAATGTTTATATTTATTATAATATAATCGCAATAACAAGGTACTTCAGTGAACAATGTAGTCATAAATATAAGGATATTTACAATTTTACAATAATAAAATTTTTTGTATCCGTAGTTATTAAAAATGAAATTGCACAAAATTAATTATAGTTGCCATATTAAAATCAAAATAGATTTTCAATGTCCTGGTTTATTTATTTATTATCATTATTAAATACAGAAAAAAATCTGATGAAGAATTATAGGGTTAAATTTATTTAAAGGACAATTTTGAAAATATCTAAATATGAAAACAAAGTTTTTGAGATCCTATCGTAAAAGACCAAACAATGTCGGTGAAAATTGCTCCATAAATATTCAGATACAAAATAGTTCAAGAATCTAATTCCTATTATATAAAAACTGTTAAAATATTGAAAATTTTTATAAATATTTTTAAACCCCTATAGTTAGAAAGAATATTCATTCAATGATTTTTTTTCTTCAATGAATTAAACTGACTCAAAAATAATAAAAAGGTATGAATAAAAAATAAAAATAAGAAAATTTACAGAAAAAAAATAAAATAAACGCTCAAACTCGGAGGAACCGCAAAGTTATATTTTCGGTTTTTATGAGGAAAAACTGTTTACATTAGAACGTTTATCTTTCCAGAAATATGCACAACTATCGGAGTTTCTCTCAAAAACTAACAATAAATGATAAGGTACACCCTACTTATTATAAGAGGCCGCGATGGCCAAGAATGTTAAGGCGTCGTTACCTTAGAAGCCGTTAAGTTTCGAAGTTCGAAATCGGCCTGGGTAAAATATATATATGGTGTTTCACGGCAAGAGACCAAACTGCAAAAATGAACTAAGGACCCTATTTATTTGTTTTAACTACTTTATTAATTAAATGTAAGCATTAACATTCATATTAAATGTTGTTCAAAGTGATTTCTTTGAGCATTAATACAGGCTCGGCATCTTTCTTCAATAGCATCAGTGGCAGAACGGAACTGGATATGTGTTATTGTTTCACAACATTCGATATCCTTCTACGTAAGGAATTAAGTTGACCGGACTAGCTCAATCATACCCCATATCCCAATCAATGGATTGGCCGTGCAGGACCAGTGGTTTGGCCTGCACGCTCTCCAGACCTGATACCACTAGAATTTTTTGTTTGGAGTGACATTAAACACGAAGTCCATACAAATCCGGTCAAAGACCTTAATTCCTTTCGAAGGATAATTGAATTTTGTGAAACAATAACACATACCCAGTGACGTTCATTAACTGCTGCTGTTGAAGAAAGATGCCGAGCCTGTCTTAAAATTCAAGGAAATCACTTTGAACAACATTTAATATGAATGTTAATGTTTACATTTAATTAATAAAGTAGTTAAAACAAATAAAAAGGTTTTATTTATTTCATATAACGTAAATAATCCATAACAACAAAAATCTTTAGGTGTGAATATCTCCTAAACAAAGCGTTTGCGGACATACCCTCATAGGACATACCATGTATATATATATATACATTTTTTTTTAAACATATCTTTATATATTATAGCACATGTTAAATAATTGTTATTCAAAAAATCGAATATAATACAAAACATTTAAAATAGGGCAATTGCTATAATAATAGGGCTACTTAAATAATCAAATTAATTCCAGGCTTATTTATGCCTTATTATATTTTTAATGATATTTATTTACAATTTATTTATTTAAAGGATATTTATTTATTTTCCTTTACTCCTTATTCGGCCAAGTGAGACATATAGGGAGAGGAGGATCTCGACCTTTCCAATCTGGTTAGAATAGGTTTGGTTGTATCTCTAGAACGGTTCCTAGACTGTTTTAGGTTTGATATTGTTAGGTATGTGTTTTAACACGATCTTAATGAAGAAGTAACGATAGTAAGTAGTAAGGTTGCCGTACCCTCGAGTTAGCTAAGCCCAATGAATTAATAAATTTGTTATGAACAACAGCCGGAAAAGGTGTCGACATTGACAGATATTAATTCCCCTAAATTGGTCCAAACTAGTTGCCGAAATTCATTTCCTCTTTACCGTCCGGGAGGTGGGGACATCCTGTCACCAAGGATCCAGATTGTCCTGACTCAGAGTATCCGCCATGAAGTCAGCTCTAATAATACGGAAGAGTTCAATGGCAGAACTGCATTCCAGTTGCCGGAGAACAGAGGCGGTTGGAATAGTTGCATGTTCTCACTCAGTCAGTGTACCTTCGTCCTTCAGGATTAGTTGCGATGGACCAACTTCGTCCCGTGAAATACCCCATTAAATTTCAAAACTATTTTTATCAGAAATAGTCAGAAAGTTTTCAATTATTCCCGTTCCAATAAAATTGTATGAAAGTATGAAAATTCATTGATCCACAGGTTTTAATGAAATAAATACATAAGAAATAGTCATAAAAAAAATAATACAAGAGAGCTATTTAATATGGGGTACTAAATAAAAATAAATAAAATAAATACAGGTGGGAGGTTAATTAGGAATTAAGGACTCAGTGGAAAATAAGAAAATATATATTTTTGTTTTTAACTTTATTCCAATCCTAATTTTCAAGCCTTCGTCATTTCTGAGATAAAACAATATAAAAACTAAGAAAAAACATTTAAAAATTTATTAGTAAGAAAATAAAATATGAAATAAATAAAAAATGTATACAATGTTTATTTATGTTATCAAATACATACTAAGAAGTGAATACAAATTACATTGAAAAACATATAAGTACTGTATATAGGGTGTCTCATTTCTTAATGGTGAACCTCTAGAGAATGATTATAGATAAAATTTCCAAAAAAAAAGAAGTTAAGATCAATTTAGTGTTTTGTTTTTTTTAAGGTGGTTGAGGTTTCTATTGAATAAAAAGAAATTGTTCAAAGACTGTTCAAGATAATTAAATTCTAAGGACACCATCGTAAAGTAGATTTTTTTTTTTTTGTTGAGAGATCAGAAATTAAATTTACTAAGGTCAATGATAAAATCGACTTTCAGGAGGTCTAATACGTCCGCTGTACCGCTGCTGTTACAGTACCCATACCCGAGCAGCATATCTCAGAAATCCCGATTCGAGAAGTAATATGGCATAATGGTAGGCTTTGCGTTATTAGACTTCCTGAAAATCATAAATTTAATCACTGATTTCTTCAAGAAAATATTATCTACTTTACGATGGTCTACTTAGAATTTGATTATCTGGAACAAATTTTAAAACAATTACTTCTTATTCAATAAAAATTTGTCATTGGTGCCCCGAGGTACTACCAGGTCTCTCACCAGTACACTGAGTTAAGGTGGCTCTTTCCCTCCTTTCGAAGACAATATTTCCTAGGTACGTTCCTCTATCAAATCATCAACAACCATCGTCCTTCTTAGGCCTACAACCTTCTCCAATTCAAGTCCTCAGTCCATTCCCTTTTAACAAGATCTCGACCTTCTGGCCTCTACATCCCTTTTTTTCTTTTTTTTTTTTTTTGTTCTTCCCTACTTCGCCTTTTAGGCTATACGGGATTTTTCCGGTCCGGGGAATTTAAAATCCCCTCCGCCACCGGGACGCGAACTCGTACTTTTTAATCTTCTCAAATCTGTTATCTGGTTGCCAGGCAACTTGCGGTGCTGTGCACACGCTTTAGCCCATTCGGCTACCCCGCCCCCTCTCTACATCCCTTCTCACAGACTTGCCTCATTTCAAAACTCCTTTATTGCTCGCGCTGTCAATTGCTGAAATTCCTCACCTATCAAAATTCGGCATTCCCCGTCCATATCTACATTCAAAACCCTCCTATTCCAAAAACAGATGCTTGTTAAACTTTTGATATTATACATTTTTATTATATCATTCATCATCAAATGATAGTACTATTCCATAATGTAAACATCACTAGGAATTTTAGAATATCTTCCTACTCTCAATGCCACTGAATTTTATTGCTTTTATTCTTATACAAACAAATTTGTACCTATAGTTACAATAAGATAATGATGTGTTTAGATATTATTCATTATTTAAATACTTTGGCATTTTATATTGTCAGATTTGTCTTTCCTATGTTAGCAGAAACACAGCTTATTTTAAAGAAGAACTCAATGTATTTTTTATTATTTTATTTTTCAAAAGTGTATAATTATAATTTTTTCTACTGTACATAGTTTTAATTGTCTTATCATAGTTTTAAGTGTTTTTTATATAGATTTTTTTTTTGTATATAGCTTGTTTATAAAAAAAATTTGTATTATTTTCTTTACTTTGTCTTTTTTTTATTATTGTTTTATTTTGCCCAGACGTAGTCTCTTAATTATGTACTGTTTTGTTAATCTAAAGGGACTTTGTCCCAGAAAAAAGTTATTTTCTATTCTAAAAACCGTGACAATCTTAAGAAAAAAAAACGAAAAATTGAGCTTAGTTCCTTTTCGTTTCGGAATCGGCTCATGCATCAAATGGACGTTTTGTCTAGAATCACATCCCAGAGTTTGGCCAATAGGAAGTGAGACACCCTCTTTAATGAAATGACAAACTAGGAATATAAAGTGGTTAAGTATCAAGTTTAAAAAAAATTAATATAATAGAATAAGGGAATGTGCGATAATTCATGAAATAACTCGAATAAAATAAATAGATTGGTTAGTATATAAAAACAATTAGACAAGTAGATGTGAAATGTAAGACATATACAAATTATAATATATAGGAAATTAAAATGTAATGTACGAAAAATTAACCCAGAAAACATAACGGTAACAGTGTAATGAAATAAATGAATTAATACATAATAAAATAATAAAGAAATATAAAGATAAAAAAATAATGAAAAGCACAGAAATGAAATACGTAATTAATATATAAAGTTGAAGGATTAAGAAGTAAATAGAAAATGATGAGATGGAATGATATCTATAGTTAGAGTAAAAATAATGTTATTAATTGCAGTAATATATTATCTAGCTGCATGACCGGAAGATAGATTCAATCTCCATTCATAAATATTTGCACCATTTATCCGACGCAGCTTCTGTCAAAGTTCAACGAGCCATGTAAGAAACAAATTATACAACAATAAATCTGGATAATGAAATGATAAATAGTAATAAGATGTAATCGAGGCGATTGACTACGAAACCGGCATAAATCCACTTATTTCATAAAACGTTTTTATATTATTTTATTTTCAAAAGTTCTCAATTCACTACAGAGTACTATTGGTCAAAAGTGTTCATATCTTATGATCAAAAGTCGTTATAAAAAGTTTAAACTTTTTAAAAACTGATATTGAGAGCATTTAGGTACCAGCCCGCTCAATCTCTGACAACTTCATGAAAATTAGATTAAGGGTATAGGCCATAGGTGGAGCTAGCTGCGGCCTCTGTTTGTTTTTGAACGATATTCATTAATCTAGCAATAGAAAAAAATTATTTCGAAAATTTGAAAATAAATAGAATTAAGTCGAATATACGTATATGTCTATTTAGTGATACATAAAAATAGCAACAGTAAAATGTAAAAAAATGTTGCGGCCTCCATTTTTATTGCCTAACATTACTGCGGCATCTAATGATAAAAACGTTCCCTACCTATGCAATAGGCGACATGTTCGTCATTCCAATTTGGATACAGAAAGATGGACACGGAAAAAGTTGTTTCCAGATGTAGAAAACGTGACTAGAAATTTTAGATTCTATTCTCAAAAAAAATTTTATCTCAACACAAACTCAAAGAAAGTATCCCTTTGATAGCAAGGAAAAAGATAATTTATCCATTATCCAGGTTTGAATTTTATTCATTTTACAGTGATACATTTTCCTATTGATCATAATAAATTAATCAAAATTAGTCTCTGATTGCAAAATTATTTAACGTTTCAAGTCTACCTTCGTCCGCCTCTTCAGCAATATATTATTATCTCAAGAAATTGGATAAGTCACAAAATTCAATACAATAAGATTGGATCAATGGCATTTAACATTTAAGTACAACTCAACCAATCTTATTGTATTGAATATTGTAACTTACCCAATTTCTGGGGAGAATAATATATTGCTGAAGTGGGGGACCAAGTTTTCAATGAAACGTTCAGTAAATTTGTTATCGGAGACTTATTTAGATTAATTTATTATGACCAATAGGCAAATGTATTACTGTAAAAAAAACAAAAAAAACTAAGGTATGTGCTTTAGACCACACGATATAAGCGAAAAATTCAACAAGGTAAGATTAATAATATGAAATATAAATTATGAATAATAACTCATTACAAAGAAGATGAAATGAGATCCGATTTTCAGTATCTGGAATATTTTAATTCATATGTTTAACTAACCTTATCATTTGGTTTTCAACACTATTTTTTTCTTTTCGCCTCCCTAACATGACGTCACATTAAGATACAATTTTGAATTATAGAATAATTACAGAGAGGATGAAATGCTGAACAATTTCCTCACTTACAGTATGCAGGCCTAATTTATAGTTTCTGAGATACTTTAATTCATATGTAAAAGCATTTCAATAAGTCGACTCTAGCCGAGCCTTGCCGAACGAAAACTGACGTATCAACCTAATTCACTCTCCTCAAAGAAGTGAAAAAAGCGCCAAAAGAAGTTTTCACTCACTTTTTCAAAAATAAATAATAATAACAAAACAAGATTTACTGAATTTATCAGAGTTAAGGTATAACGGTATCAATTAACGATCCCATCCCAGTCGGTTCTTTATTAGTACCACTCAAAATCCTACTACAAAAAACAAAAAAAAAAACAAGGACCAGATTATAATTTACTTCCCGAGTTTTAAAGACTTGGTATAAAAATGTCCATTAGCCGGGAAGTCGTTAGGAGTGAAGGATCAGTAACCCAATTTCCCATCCTGCGATCTGGATGGCCGAGTTGCCTTGCAGCTTTTTATTGCACGCTTTTCTAGACCACTCCATTTCTCAGAACCAGCCATCAAGTTGAACCAATTCGCTCAAGGCATTAGATAGCACGAAAAGGTAATTTGTATAATAGCATAACATTTTCATTAAAACTGTGCGTAATTATAACATAATTTAGCAGCTATAATTTATTGGAATCTTTTTTCAATAATGTGAAATGAATAAGTAAAAGAACATGGCTTTATTTCTTGCTGAACTGTGTATATAGGAAAAAATGAACAGTTATTTTTTTTTTTAATTTACAAATCGGCACATGATTTTGGATGTTGCATTATTACAATCCAACCAATTGAGCTTTGATTAGAG